GCCCCCCGCCCGGCCGCTGGCCACGCCCCCTGCGTCACCACCGACGAGACCACGCCCACTGATGTCACCGCCAGCCAATGGGAGGCGCCGGATGGGTGGCGGGTGGGCGGAGCGGAGGTGGCACTGAGGGCTCTTAAAGGGGCAACGCGCGGGGTGGGGCAGCGGGTGGGGCCCGCGCGGGCGGTGTGGGGTGGTGGGGATTTGGGATCGTGGATTGGGATTCTGGATAAAGATCTGGGCTTCTGGATGGGGATTCGGGATTCTGATTGGGGTATTCTGAATAGGGATTTGGGATGCTGAATGGGCATTTAGGATTCGGGATTCTGGATGGGCGATTTTGAATGGGGATTCGGGATTCTGAATGGGGGATTCTAAATGAGGATATGGGATTCTGAATAGGGATGTGGGATTCTGGATCCGGGATTCTGGATGGGGGATCCGGGATTCCGGATGGGGGATTCGGGGTTCCGGATGGGGATTCGGGGTTCTGGATGGGGGATTTGAGATTCCGGATGCGGATCTGGGATTCTGGATGTGGGATGTGGCCGGGCCGGGCTGTATGAGCCCCGCGCATCCTCCATCCGTCCGCCTCCACCGGGAACCCCCGGTGCCGTGACCACGGGAGGATCCAGGACTCAGCTCCCCGCCCGTCCCCGCATTCCCATTCCTGCTTCCCACAGCGGGATGAGATTCCCTCTCCCTGTCCCTCATCCCTGCCCCAACCTCACATTCCCGACGTGAACCCACAGCAGAATGGATCCCCCCCTACCCAGGACTCTCCCCAGCGGCAGAGGGGGCTGGGAACCTCAAAATCCCCCAAAAAAGCAGGCGGCAGGAGTGGATCCAATGGTTTAATGTGTGCCGGGACACCGGGGGGGTGTGCGGGTCCATCCCGGTGCGGGGCTGGGGGCCCTCGGCTCCCCCTCCCTCCCCCGCCCGGGGCTCAGGCGGGTGGCAGCTGCTGTCCCTCGGTGTCCCTCGGTGTCCCCCGCTGTCCCCGCTCCCTCAGGAGCACTTGAGGATGAAGAGGTTGCAGGAGGTGCCGCGGGGGCAGCTGCAGAGTTTCCCGATGCGCGCCCCGCGCCGCACCGCGCACGGCTCCCGGGGCTCGCACTGCGGGGAGGCACCGTCAGAACCGGGGCTGGAACCCCCAAAAACGGGGGTTCGGGGTCCCCCTGAACCCCCAGGCCGAGCCCCCGCCGCCCCCCAGCCCCGCCGTACCCAGGGCACCCAGCTCAGCCTCTTCTCCAGCGCCGGCGGCTCCCGCGTCCCCAGCTTGTCCAGCAGCTCCTGGAGCACCCCCACCTGCCACGGACAGCACCGGGACACCCCGAGTTCCCGGGACACCCAGGGGCTCCGGAGGGTCACCCCGAGACTCCGGGGGCACCCAGGGGCTCTGGATCCGTGTCACCCCGCGTCCCCGAGAACGTCCGGGATCTCTGGGTCTGTCACCCCGAGTTCCCCCGGGCTCCTGTCCCATCCCCAGCCTGTGCCTGGCTCATCCCGGGCAGGATCGGGGGGTTCAGGCTCTGTCCTTGGGGTGACTCCCACTGCCGAGGGGCGGCCTCACGTCCCCCCTCCGGTCCCCATCACCCTCCCTGCAGCTGAGCCTGAGCTCAAGACGGAACAGGGAAGGAGAAAAGAACCAAAATTCCCCAAACCAGCGATGCCCGCGTGCTGCGGGATGTCCCCGGTGAGAGGAGCCCCCCGAGGACCCCACAGCAGCAGCACAAAAACAGCGGAGGGGGCTCGGTTCCCCCTCCCCAATTCCCCAGGGACCCCCCAGAACCGACCCCAACATCCCAAAATGTCCCAAACCGCACGGGGGTCGCTGGGGACCCCCTGCCCCCCTCCCCAGTCCCTTACCAGCTCCGTCTCCTCCTGGCTGTGCCCGGGCAGGCTCAGGGTGGGCCGGAGCTCCGGTACCGGTTCGGGGGTGCCGAGCAGGATGAGGCCGGAGCCCAGCAGGCAGAGCAGGCAGAGCCGAGCGTTTTCCATGTCCCCGGTACCGACTGCGCCCCTGGATGCTCCGGGATGTGCCAGGCTCGGCTTTATACCCCCCTCAGCCACCCCCAAACACGCGGTGACGCAGACGGGGCGCCTGTGTCCCCCCCAAACCCCGGCACCGTCACCGGGCCGGAGGGGGGACACAGCATCCCTGGGGACACAGGTGCCACCAGGCACGGACGTCATCACCGCGGCCAGGCGGGGACCCCCGGGTGACCCCCCCAGGCCGCAGCCGCTGCCAATTCCCTGAGCAAACACGGGGCTCATCCCGGCTCCTCAGCCCCGCGCGTCCCTCCGGACACGGCACAGACGGGGGGTGACAAATGGCTTTATTGGGAAGGCGGGGACAGCCGGGGGGGGACAGCCGGGGGGGACACAGGGGAGCTGCAGCTCTGCTGTCCCAAGGCCCTCCCAGGCTCTCCAGAATCCCCAGCGCGGGTCTCCGGTCCCGCTCCATCCCAGTCTGGTCCCTTCATGTCGCGCAACCCCGAACCCTCCAGGATCCCCACAGACACCGCCCCCCGCTCCTCTCTGCTCCCGGGGGATGTCTCAGTCTCACTGCATCCCTGTGGGGTCCCCGTTGTCCCCCGGTCTCTCCTCACCCCCTTGGGGTCCCCCCCGTCCCGCCGCCATCCCAGGTCCTGCCCCAGCCATCAGCGTCACAGCCGAGCATCTTCCTCTTCCCCCTCCTTCTCCTCCTCCTCGCTGGGGTTTTGGGGTCCCCGCCCGGAGGGACCACGGGGAGAGACCCCCTCAGAAACCGGGACGGGAAGGGCGGCGGGACAGGGCCGGGGGCACCGCCGACATCGGCGGGACCGAAGCGTGGAGAACCCCCAGCCCGGTCCCCCCGATCCGGTCCTGTCCAAACCGCCCAGTCCCGGTTCTGTCATGCCAACCAGTCCCGGTTTGGGACAAACGGTCCCGTCGCTCCCAACCCTGGTCCGGTTGCTCGGGGGCCCGGTCCAGCTCAGTCTCGGTAAACCCCGCCCGGTCCCGGTCTGGTGGCCCCTGATTCTGCTGCAGCTCAGTTTCGGCTGCTCCTACTCGGTCCGGTCCCGGTTTGGTGACCCCCAGCCCGGCCCCAGTCGGGTCCCAGCCCCATTCCAGGTCAGCCCCAGCTCCCCGGTTCCGGCCCCGGTCCCGGTTTGGCGGCGCCGCGCCCCGCCCACCCCCCGAGGCTCCGCCCACCCAGGGACACGAAGCCTTCTGGGTAATGTAGTCCCCGTTTAATGGCGCTGGAAGGGGGCTCTCAGGGACTACAGTTCCCAGAAGGCCTTGCGGCGGGAGCAACGAGACGGCGGAGACAGCGCCGCCTGCTGGCTCGGAGGAGTCAGAGCGGGAGCGCGGCCATCGCTGTGATGAGTTCTGGCCGTGCTCGGACACGGGGGGACACGGGGGGACACGGGGGGCGCTCAGCGGGGACAGCGGGGACACGCACAGAGCGCCGTGGGCAGCGTGGGAAGCACGGCTGAGGAGGACGCGGCCGAGGGAAACTGAGGCACGGCGTGGGCACCTCCCGCGACCCCCGGGGGTTCACGCACCGGTCCGGCCCTGCAGCTGAGGGAACGGGGGGCCGAGATGAGGCGAGCCCGGTGTGCCAAGCTCGGGACAAGCGCGTCCCCGGCGGGTCCGGGCCGTGTCCCCGGCAGGTGGCGGCCGCCGCCCGCTCGCAGCCCGGAGCTCCCCGCGTGTCCCCGTTTCCCCCGGCTCGGAGCGCACCGACCCCTCCCGCCCCCGGTGCAGGTCCCGCTGCACGGACCGAGCCGCCCCCGCGCCCCGGTGCGTGAATTGCCGCCCCCCCGGTGCAGCCCCCGCTCCACCGACAGACTCCCGCTGCAGCCCCCGCTGTACCGACGGGCCCGCGGCCCACGAACCGACCCCCAGTACCGCCCCCGACCCACGGACCGACCCCACCGGGCGGCCCCCGGTGCACGGACAGACTTCCCAGTCAGCGCACAGACCCCCGGTGCAGCCCCCGACCCACCGAGCGCCCCCCGGAGCAGCTTCCGGTGCACGGATCGACACCCCACGGTACAGACCCCGGTGCACGGAACGACCCCCCGGTACAGACCCCACTCCGCGCACAAAAGCCTCAGTGCAGCCCTCGACCCTCGGGGCAGCTCCGGTCCCACGGACCGACCCCCGCCGTGCAGACCCCTGTGCCCGAACCGGCCGCTGGAGAAGCCCCCGGTCCCATGGACTGATCCCCCGGTGCACCGACAGACCCTCGGTGCACGAACAGACCCCCCTGTGCAGACCCCGGTGCCACAGATCACCCTCCGGTGCACGAACCGACCCCGGGAGCGACCCCCGCTGCACGAACCGGACCCCCTTGTGCAGCCCCCGGTGCACGGACCAACATCCGGAGCGACCCCCGCTGCAGCCCCCGATCCCACGGATCGACCCCGACTCCTCCCCGGCACCCCCCAGTGCACCGACCGACCCCCAGAGCGACCCTCGGTGCACGAACCGACCCCCGGAGAGACCCCCGGTGCAAGAACCGACCCCCCTGTGCAGTCCCCGGTGCCACAGATCACTGCCCGGTGCAGTGAGCTACTCCCGGTGCAGCCCCCGGTGCATGAACCGACCCCCGGAGCGACCCCCGGTGCCCGGACCC